TCCTCCCTCCTCCTCCTCCTCCTCCCCCCCCGCGCGGCCCGCGCGGGCCTGGCGCGGGCCCTCGGACGCCGAGCCTTGCCCCGAAACCTCCCGCCGCGACCGCGGCCGCGGCACGACGAGGAGAGGGCCATCCCCCGGAGAGCCCAGCATCGAACCGACAAGTCGGATCGGCGATCGACAGACATCGCATCGGCGGAAATCGGCAGCCGAGCCGGGAAAAGTCGAATCGGCGGACATCGGCAGGCTAGAACGCCTCCCATGACAAATCGGATCCCGTAGCGGACTCCGAAGTCGAATCGACTCGGATTCCGAATCCATCGAAATCGAATCGCATCGACTCGGAAGCATCGAAATGAATCCTGCATCCCTGGGCCTGTTGCGGGATGCCGCCTGGCCAAGATCTCAAGGAGAGGGCCCAGCCGTGGCTGCGCGGCGCCCCAGGAAGGGCCCCCACTGAGGACGGAAGGGCTCCTGAGTTCGATCCTCGAGCCTCGCCGCGGCGCGAGGACGCGAGGAGGCCAGCCCCCCCCCCCTTCTGGCGCCTATTTCCATAGGGGAGGGGCAGCGCAAGGGGGGACGAGCTCCGGGTTGAAACACCGTCTGATGGGAAAAGTGCGCAATAACCCAGCACCACAGAGACTGCACAGTCCACGCGCGCACGTGCGCACGAGCGTGCCAGAATCCTGCCGAAGACATTCGCGCCACAAGCGTCTCACCATGAGCAGACCAACGCCACGAGTTGTTCTCGTAAAGCGTCTTGCACATGTTCTGCCCGCGCGCCCTCGCTGGAATCATTCGTCAACCAGATGGTTGTATCGATGCTGGTCTCATCGTACTTAAGGACCACATCCCATACATAATTTTGACCACCCAACAAATTTTGAAGACGTGTCGACCGAGTATCACCTCCCAGGACCCGTCACGTGAAAACCCTTCAGTTTCGGTGCTGTCTTGGTGCTCGAAATTCTCTGGTGACCAAGGCTAAAGTAGGTTGGCACATCATAAGGTTGTATTCGCCTTGCCGAACTTGAAGTTGTCGGCTCCGCTGTTCGCGCAACCATCCCTCCCATCCACCCGCAACTTGGTTTGCAAAACTCATGCGGAAGCGATTGCGATGAGTGCTTGGCATTGGCTGGTGCATCTCTGCGGCCGCACTGACCCGCGCATGCTCGCGCACGCAGCGGCCAGCTAGTTCAGCGCGACCGACGCGAACGATGTGGCGCTGACCGCTCGGCACATCCCAGCGGGCACTTACGTGGGAGTCGGCGACTTGGGCGGGCGCGGTATCATGGCAACGTCGGCAACGGTATGCACGATGATAATAGTAGCGATGGTGGTGACGATGCTGGCAACGACGACGGAGCAGCCAGTGACGGCGTCGATGCTGATGGTGAAGGTTGTGGAAGAAGTTCGGCATGCGCGCGAGTGGCCCGCGCGGTATTTTTGACGCGGAACGTGCCACCCTAGCACGCGCGCAAGGGCGTTCGAACGAATTCGACATGCGCGCGCGAAGCCTATGTGGCAGCATGTTATGAACATTTTGAAGAAGCGATGGTTCTTAAACATTCGCAAGAACACGCGCGCAAGTTGTTTACTTGTTGGAAATCCGTGTTGCCAAGCCCTGTGTTTTTTATATGTTGTTCGGAAGGGTTTCGGCATGCGCACGCGATGACGCGCGCGTGTGCATGTCGCCCCGTGTGTTGCAATGGGCTCTTGGGAACTTCTGATTTTTGATAAGCGAGTGCGCGCGCAGGTTTTTTCAGCAGAAGATGGCGGGGGGGGGGGCGATACCAACCTGGCTGGGGTGGTGCGAGTTTATATTTAGGACGGGCGATGGTGCAGAACCAAAAGTAAATTGCAATGCGAGAACACATAACAGATACTCCTGGGGGGGGGATGGGGGGAGAGTCGATTCTTCTTCTTGGGAAGGAGAATCAAGACCGTCAAATGCCCACATTCCTGGCCATCGCTCGGACGTCCATTCCCTGTGTTTTTCGGTTTCGTGCGTGATTTCATTCTCCAATGATCAAGGATGCTCCTCTATGGTCCTCGCCGAAGGAAAACTGCACACGTCCGAGCGAGACCGAGATGATCACAGGCGGGCCACACGCGCGCGCCGCCACGCGCGTGCGACATCCTGTCGCAAACCCACTCGTTGTCGAACCATTGCAAAAGAGGACCCTCCAGAGAATCGTATGGGGAACCACAACAATAACCAGCCTCGAACGTATCCCTATCCCTACGATGGGCGAACAAAAGGTGAGGACAATATTAGGGATAGGCCCTCAGAAACTGAGGGAATCCTTAAGATCGGCATCGACGTGACGTGATGCCAAACATAGGGGTAGGGATATGTTTCAAATTGGTAAAACAAGTGATGCTCAACAAACGGATGCCAGAATTCGACAACCCCTGCGCGCGCAATTCGCCGCAATCGCTCTCACCAGCGCCATCGCACCACCGCCGTCCTCGTCACTGTCAACCGCCGCATGTGTCGCCATCCTCAGCCAATCACGTTCACCACCGACATATGGACACCACCATCATCACCATCGTCGCCACCAGCGTTGGCGCCATCATTGGCCTTGCCATCGTAGTCGTCGTCGTAGTCGTAGTCGTAGTCGTCGTCGTCGTCGTCGTCGTCGTCGTCGTCGTCGTCGTCGTCGTCGTCGTCGTCGTCGTCATCCCCACCACCATCGCTACTATCATCGTTTTAGCCGCCGTTGTCGACGTCATCCTGATATCGTGCCCGCCCGAGCCACAGACCCGCACTGCAGTGTCCGCGCGCCAGAGACGGGCCTGGAAACTCCCATCGGTAAGCGCCATCGCGGCCGCGTCGGCTGTGCCAAACCAGCTGGCCGCTCCGCGCCCGAGCTTGCGCGCGCTCGTGACGCCGCAGAGATGCGCCACCTAGTGCCAAGCAGTCACTGCAATCGCGGCCGAATGGGTGTTGCTAAAACTAGGTGCGGGAAGGAGGGTGGGATGTGTACGCGAGCAGGGGAGTTGACAGCCCGCATTCGTGGCGCTAGTTTATTGCACAACGGATTGCACAATGTAGATGCTCGCTTCTGAAAGGAACTGGACTCTACGCCCACTCGGCGGCCTGGGTTAGCGGTGCACCTCTGCGTATTGTAAGTGTTCCCCAAATTACTTCGCACGATCGTCCATCATTACTTCCGAATGCGATCCACGCCAAGCCGGTATCGACGCGCCGCCGCGACGGCGCGTCCAACTCTGGCAAGCAAACACAATCAAAATTATGCTAACGGAGTTCCCCACATAAAGATGTTACGGGGTTCCATTGCTTCTTGTCTGCGCTCTGGTGGGGCCTCCCTGGAGGGGTGGGAGGGGCACGAAACCTGATGAATAATATGGTGTGCGAATACCCTGCCCGCTCTGGTGGGGCCTCCCTGGAGGGGTGGGAGGGGCACGAAACCTGATAAATAATATGGTGTACGGATACCCTGCCCGCTCTGGTGGGGCCTCCCTGGAGGGGTGGGAGGGGCACGACACCTGATAAATAACATGGTGTGCGAATACCCTGCCCGCTCTGGTGGGGCCTCCCTGGAGGGGCGGGAACGGCACGAAACCTAATAATAAAATATGGCGTGCGAATACCCTGCCCGCTCTGGCGGGGCCTCCCTGGAGTGGCGGGAGGGGCACGAAACCTGATAAATAATATGGTGTGCGAATGCCCTGCCCGCTCTGGTGGGGCCTCCCTGGAGGGGTGGGAGGGGCATGAAACCTGATACATCATATGGTGTGCGAATACCCTGCCCGCTCTGGCGGGGCCTCCCTGTAATGTTGGGAGGGGCGCGAAACCTGATACATAACATGGTGTGCGGATACCCTGCCCGCTCTGGTGGGGCCTCCCTGGAGGGGTGGAGGGGCACGAAACCTATAAA